ACCTTTTTTACATATCCTGCATATTTCCTGTGTTTGTCTGGTAAGGAACCACAGGAGTATTGTCCTTAGGCGTATTTTTAATTTCAGTGGCTCAAGATTTAGAAACCTGCTTAAGATGTAAACACCTAAAGCTAATGAGCAATTTGTATTGCATGTTCCATATTAAAATAAGGTGAAATGTCAGTATTTTGACATTTATCAGTCTTTAGATAAGACTGTGGATCAGCATGTTTTTAGTAGTGTGAGCATTACACATTAGGAACAATTTACTTTACAGGGAGTTACTGCTCCGTTGCTTAAAAGCTCACATCTCCGTTTAAATAAATACATCTTAAATATTAGTCCTGTATATTGTGATCTCATTTTCAGGAAAGGCAAGAATATATTTATAAAAACAGAAGCAGGAAAATACTTTTTAAATCAAACTGAAAAAGAACAGAATGCTTTTAAGGGCTGAACCATAGCATGAATTATTCTAAATCTGTAACACTCATTTATAATTGTCTAGAGAAAGTAATAGGAAGGGAGCAATTTAATTCAGGACTGTGTATGGTTTGCAAAGCAGCGCCCATTAACCCCTTAAGGACACATGACGTGTGTAAAATGTCATGATTCCCTGTTATTCCAGAAGTTTGGTCCTTAAGAGGTTAAATGCCATGAAATGGCTTTGGTTGAGGTGATTACAATTTTGTGGTATCTTGCTACTGCATAGGTAACCTTTGGCACTCCGTATGTTGTGGACTACATGTCCCAGTGATGCTTTGCCATCATTCAGTAAGAGGATTAAGGGACATATAGTCCAAAGCATCTAGAGTGCTGGAGGTTTCCTACTACTGCAAAGACAATCACTTGCTTTCCAAATGTTAGTGGCCTAGTATGGTCATAGCCACACACATGGTCCTTTTTCTATATTTCTCATTCAAATGTTTGTTTGTTTTTCCCTTCTAAATATGATTTGCAGTGATCTTCCCTATTGCTTGCATTATTCTGTTTATTTAGGGGGTTTTTTTTTGGGGGGGAGGGGTTTTGGAAAGTCAGACTGGTGGCTTTTCGGAATGACTGTTTTATTGTGTAGATGAGGTTTTATAATACTGGGTTTCATGATTGCCAACATGCACAAGCCTGGTCTAATTATCAGACTGCTGTGCCACAGTGAATAACACTATGAGCATCTCTCATGCACCCTCTATCAGGCACCTTCCAAGAATTATAAACCATATTTTCTTTCTCCAAAAATACAGCTTGGAAAGCAATGTTGTAACCAAAATCTCTCCTATAACTTTATCCATGGGATAAATGTCCTCAGCGCTTGATTCCCCAGAGTTTCTCGATCGTTTGGGTATTTTCAATCCCAGGCCTTGGGCACTGATCATATATTTTGCTGAAAGGTGACAGTTTTCATGAGAATTAATATTAACAATTTTTTGAGTGTGCACTTGTCCTCGATGCCATTTTGCTTCTATGTAAATAGCAAGTACATTTGAGAATGGTAAATATATACACTATTCTATTCATAACAATCAAGCTTCAGATGTTCTTTTTGATCAGAGCTCAAAAGCACAATTGTAATACTAGCATTAAATATATAGTATAATTTGTTATATACATTATTAAACTGTATCAGAGGTTATTGACAAGCCCCAATTATTAAGATAATATGGTTGTATTGCTTTGGGCAATCTATCTTGTAAGTGATGTGTTTGTATTTGTGATCGTTTTCTAAATCAGTGGAATAGTAAAGGGTGATGGGGAAACGTAGCTACTTAACTGGTATGTGCAAGGAATCCATTTGTAAACTAGAGCATTGGGTTCAAATAGCCATTGTTTAGGAGGCTTCTACAGTTCTATTAATTGAATTGTAATTAAACGGCTTTGTGGGTTTGTTTTCATGGGGTTTTCTTTTTTTGGGGGGACATTATGGTTTGATATTAAATATATTGTGAATATGGTGCATAGCATCCCTTTAACAATCCCTCCCACATGTATTTTTATGCAAACATTTTGCAGGAAGCATCCCATGAAGACTACTAAGATGCAACTTGTATGATTTTAAAAGAACAGACTGAACCCAATGTTTGTTCCTTTGTTATAGAGCCATTTGCGAGAGAGACATCAGTTTATGGTGTCATGCCACTGGATAAGCTGATATTGTATAATGCACTTTCTAGCTGTCTGATAAAGCATTCTTATTTAGCAGGTGCAATGTGTTTTAAGGGAAATTTTGAAGTCTGATTGTATCTAATATTGTTTAGAGGTATTCTGCTTAAATAATGATTTATAAAATCCAAATTGTATATAAAGTACACAAATTAAAATGATCTATTTACTTAACTATTTGACTTGAAATGCACCTATTTTATATCTACTTTGAGAGCACTGATGCTTCTTTTAAACACTGGTTATAAACATTTATGTTCCAGGTAACTTATTGCACAGCGTTTTTATTTTCTTCTCTAACTGCTTCTATTGTGTTATGTATTTTATATATGATTTTACTTTTCTAATATTCATAAGCTAGTTCTTGTTTGGTTTTGGTTTACACACCACCCATACTGTAATTGCACTGCTCAGGCTATCGTTCCATTCATTTTGTTGTGATTTGAAAACAAAAAACAGGGTATGGGTGAAGGCACACATTTGTTTTGTTTTTCTTAAATGGTATTTTGCAGTGTTTTAATAAACCGCATATTTTATTCCTAGCCAAATTGGAGATCTAATGTCATGTTGTTTTTTTTTTTTAAGTGGCCTTTCACTAGCGGGTGTTCACACTTCTAAGCCTCCACAATGCAAGTTAGCAGTATGCAAACTTCATTTAAGGTTTTCTGCACATCTTTCTAGCACAGGGGATGGTAACCCCACGTTTAAGACATGAAATTTCGATTTCACAACTTTACACAGCAAACTGGCTACATTAGCAGCATTGCCTTCCCCAGGACAATGGGTAACTTTGTCCTACTGGAAAGAGGCTTTTACATAATGAACTTGGTACTTTGTTCTGCAACAGTTGAATGACAATACCAGAGTATTGCAGTATGCAATGATACTTTTTTATTATTGGGCTAACCTAATATTTCAAAGACAAGCTTTCGAGAGTTTTCCTCTCTTCCTCAGGTCTGAATCAATACTGATCAGATAGATCAGTACTGCTTCAGACCTGAGGAAGAGAGGAAAACTGTTGAAATCTTGTCTTTGAAATATTAGGTTAGTCCAATAAAAAAAAAGTATCATTGCATACTGCAATACTCTGGTATTTTGGCTTTTTTTCTATTTATAGAAAAACAGAGGTTTAATATAAATATTTCTATTTGCATCACCACACATTTTGATCATTTTTTTTTTTTTTAAATCTAGTTCCTCTAAGTGAGGTCTTAAGGATGTATGACCTACTGGCATACAGCAAAAGGAAGGATGGAAAATATCAATGTGGCTGCGTATTCTGATACCGATAAGTACGTTAATATATAAGCCTAGAGTGTGCTTGAAAAGGATTTGATTGTAAAAATTTCCACCACTAGGGGGAACTAGCAACCAGTGTAGTTAAGACAGCCAACTTTTGTCATACCAGCCCAGAGAGGCCGTGTTCTCTCAAGGAAATAATTTGAGAATATATATTATATACACACGTGCATAAAGCAATGCTGTCAAACTTTAATACGCTAGCATTTCTGAGGTGTCTTAATATCTGAAATATTTTAACTTGTCAATATATGGTATAATGGGATTATATAGAACAAGAATATGTATTTAAAGCAGCTCTGTACATGGTAATGTAAATTATAAAGTGATGATGGGGTCCACATATACCTAAACATTAATACAACAGACTTCATCTTGTGAGGTAGGTGCCTATAAACTAAAATTGTATTAATAAACAATGGTTTAAGTGATGTCTTGTAGTTTAATTTTTTTTTTTCTACCTTTAACTAAAAGTAACCAACTCATGTCTTACATCTTCAAGGGTAATAAGGACTCTATCTACTTTTATTCCATTATATTTCAAATTAAATGTGTTTTTTAAAAGCGACTTACACACCACCAGTGGTAAACAAATTAAAAAAAAAAAAAAAATTGTTTGTAAGCTGCAGTGGTAAAAGAACAAAGCCTGTCCATATTTCAGGATTCTAGTTCTCTCAAGTCCCATTAAAGGATGTATCTAGCACATAGCACACCATTTATACTATTGTGGGTTTGTATTTCCTCCTCCTTCATCCCGGAACTGCAATAAAGTGGCAGAAAATGTAGGAAAATGATTTATCCACCTAAATGCTTTTGTCATAGTAAATGTTTTCATAACATTGTCAATGGTAAAATGATGCAAATGCTTGTGTTTTATATTAAATGTAATCTCCAAACTGTTTTTTTTTTTTTTTTCTTCTTTCTGGTATTTCCTAAAACAAGACACCCCGTTTAGTAAAAAAAAAAAAAAGCTAAAAGTACACTACAATGTCTCCACAGGGGGTTACATTTGGTAATTTGTAGGTTTGTTTGTTTTTTTTTGGTTTGTTTTTTTCCCACACCCCTCCCCCTATAAAATTTTTTTTTTTTTTTTTTTTTTTTTATAAAGGATTACATGTTAATTATGTCTGTATTTTAAAAGCCTGAGGATTGTCTAATTACTTTATGGTTTATGTGTTGGCAATAATAAAATGCAATAAAACTAAACGGTTTCATAGTTGTTTTGTTATAGTGTGTGTATATATCAAATGTAATTGTTTAAAATCCTGACAATCCGCTCCCAAATGTTTATTTTTGTTGACTTGTTGGTGTGATTACTCCATATATCCCACACGTGCTTTAAAAAGCTAGGCTGTTGCAACTGTCTGCCCATTCATTTTTTTTTTTTTTAAATTGCAAATGGCACGGTATCTGTGTTTATCTGGAGGGGGTGAGGGGGGGGAGCGACTGCACAGGTGGTCATGTCAGTTTTCTGGTGTAGGCATGAGTATACCCCATGCTGGCCAAATTGTTTCATATTATTCATATCTTTCTGAAGCAAACCGCCCCAATCTATTGCCCATAGCTTCTGGCAGCAACATGGATATGCTCTCTAGCTTTAAATTCATGACCATAATAGTAAAGTTTTATAGTAGGCTTGTCCAAGTTGTATGGATGAAACTGTGGAAGCATTGGCAATGTGTCCCCTTGACTGGGTTTGAAATACCCTAGTGTGGTCCACTGTCAAGGGCAAGATCATTGTTGGACGCGTCGTAGGTCTATTTAGCCAAGTGATGGAACTGCCTCTGCAGAACCACAATTGTACCATGCTTGGAGTAATATGTCCATGTAATACCAAATTCCAACTACAAGCATTCAAAGGAACTGGAGTGCTTTCTATGCCATCAAAGGACTATTTATAAAAACCAGTGGCAAAACTCCTGCTGGCATAATTCATAGCCCCAAATGACTTTCAAAGTAACTGACCATTCAAACTTTGCAGATTTTTTTTTTTTTTCCTTACTACTTTGGATTATATGACTGAAAGCCATCACCAACGCTGGCTATGGATACAGACCGCACTGTGTTTAAAACCCCCTGCCTGCATACATAACAGAAGCCAATCCTAGCTGGGACTAATGGGCATTGAGCCTAGTTCAGTTAATGCAGACATATTAAAATTAGGATAATACAAACTTGACTCAGAACTTATTGGAAAGTGGCAAACTTGCCGTGGTGATATTTATGGTAATGAACTGCAGCACAAACACAAGTCTCCAATTTACGACAGCAGTTTTAACCAGCATAACCAACTAAACATTGTCCTGCAGGTACACTGATGCTTTGAGTGGCCATTTACTAGCCCATATTCTGGTAGGAAACGGTCTGTCATTCTACTGATCACATGGCAATAAACTGCAACAAAGTATTAAACGTGAGCCTCTCCCATAATGATTATGGCATTACGAATGCACAAACCTTTTAATACAGTTAAAGCAGTCATTTTAGTATTAAAATAAAAAAAAAAATCTGGTAGCTCACAGACAAGCATATACACCTTTTTAGGTATAGCCATTTGTTAAATGTTTTTTTTTTTTTTTTTTAATAAAGTGTACATGGCATAGGCCTTAACACGGATAACATACAGTAGTGACTTTTATCCATGTCGACATAATAGCACAATGCAGTTTCTACCGAATGTGACCTGTTCATACTGTGAATCAGATTTCTTCATAACCTAAATACGATGGTCAGCTTTGGTTCAGAACTGTTGGAGTAAATTAGTCAGTGGTATTAACAGAACCCGCTTATATTGTGTACCTTGTAAAATGGCACTTTATGTTGGAAGTGTCCACTGCAGAAAGGGTAGACTTTTGCCATAAGGGAATGTACATATTCAACAGGAATGATAAAGTATACTGTGGCACTCCAATGATACTCTGCTAGAATTGGGTCTGGTGTGTACCAATAAAATCTCATCTTTCTTGCCACACTATCCAAACGCCACAGCAGCATGTACTGAATTTACACAGCTATCTAACCCCAACTGTGCATATTTCAGCAAAACCTATTAATCGAACAAGTGATCACTTTACCATCTGTCAGTTTCGAATTTTGATGATCATGTGCCTGGTGTATCAATGTCTTAACTCAAAGGAATGAATACCTGCAGTGGTTTTTAACTGTGGAGGCCTGCTCCAAGATATGATATATTGTGCACTCAGGGACAGCGCTTATGCACACCAATGTTATAAAGAGGTAATTTAACCATCCAAAAAGAGTACATGTACCCAAATGGGTGTTCACTGCGTGTATATATAGCTCCATAAAATATTTATCCATAAATCAGAACATATTATAATAAAATATTGCATTGACGTATTCAGACATATTTCACCAGTCTAGAAGTTACTCTTGTTTAGCACAGCTCCTACATGTTGTGTTATATATCTATATAATTTTAAAAATGTATTCACACATTGAAATAACATAAGCTACTAAGTCTGTTAGATACTTAATTCTGAATAGTGATTTCATAGCACACCTAGACTAAAACTTTGCGATGACAAAAATCACCAACATTAATGTTTGAAGACACCTACAGCTAAAGAACATTGGACCTCATAGCATATGAAGGATAATTCACAATATTTCAAGTAAACAGTTCTCACAAGAATTCAGTTTTCTTTTGGGTGGGATAGGTTGAGAACCAAAAATGTCAGTTAAAAAGCTATTTGATTTCATTTGGGGTCTTCACCTCAGTTGACGTGTAATATCCAACCACATGATTTTAACAGCTGTTCAACATCAATAATGCAGATATGTAAAGAAAAAAGTTCTCTTGATGAAACGCATGTCACAGAATGGCCTGAGTTCCTTACATGAATGGTCATATCATCTAGGTTTTTGGTTAACATAAAAATAGGAGTACTTTGATAAGGATGAGGCTTTTCAGGAGCCAAGCCATGGTCCAACATTCACTAAATGGAGTTCTTGGAAACCATATCAGATTTCATTGTTTCTCTCTGGGAAGAAAAGTTCTTTACATCTTCGTACAGTGTCCTGAGGAGATGCTACTGTGTGACCTATTGTACGTGGGTCAGTGAAGATCTCATAATCATTCCCACCCTGTGAAAATAAAATTTAGCCAGCCTTTTTAGAAATAAATTATTTTTTTCCCTCCTCCCTCTCCTTTTCAAAACCATTAGAAAACAGTTCCCAAGGACCACCAGTGAGTCTGGTTTTCACTTGAGAGCCTAGTCCCTGCAGCATGCCAGAGGAGGAAGATGGAGTCTCCTGGGACCCTCTTCAGTACAGAAGCTGCTCTGGCACCAGACCACCAGGAAAACTAGCATCCTCCCATTACATAAAAACAAAAAAACTGCCACCTCCCTCCCACCACCCACTCCCAATACAAAACCCTATCCAAACACCTCAAACACACACATACTGTATCAACTATACACAAATACTCTGTGTTTACTGCACACACTTTCTGCATCCACTATACACACACTGCATCTACTTTACTTATCTGTGTGGGTTGACCTGGGGGTGTGCCCCAGGGTCCCAGGCCTTGAGCTGTGTAAGAGACACCAAAATTTCTGATGGCAGCCCTGAAATATGTATGCTTCAAATTTCAAGTAAAAAATTATTGAACAGGGTCTGTAGCATTTCAGATCTGGACCTCACATGATGGTGAGATCAATTCGATATTTTAAATAGCACAGTAGGTTCTCTCTATAATGGCAAAAGTTAGTCAAAACATTTATGAGACCTGAGTGCGTTTCTGCCTGTTCTTATCAATTCTATTTTTGACTTTTTATATGAAATACTGGTTCTCACCGGTGACGTTTCATTTCCAAAGAAGTGAATGGTATTAAACTTTTCCTCAGCTAGAGCATCAAGACAGTACCGCTTGTCCCAACCTTCCGGGAAAATGTCAAAACTGATCATCCCACCTAGGAGGTGCAAAAGGAATTATAAGCAAGATGTTTGGATCTGGGATAAGAGGTGGAGTTGATGTGACGTATATTAATGATAAACATAGAGGGATAGGTCAGAGTAGACAAGGAGGATTAAACTTTGAGAAAAAGGAGTGAAAATACATAAATAACAGGACATCGTATAACAGCAACAAAAACCAGGAGGTAACTTGAGTGGAGAGTAAAATAGAATCACACAGGTTCAGTGACACGAGTAACATAAGAAAAGAGAGGACGACACTGGAAAGAAATATATACACGAAGAATTTAAACTATACAGAATGCGAGAAAACAAAAGGCAGCTAGGAAAAGCTTCAGACACACGAAAACATGTACACATTTGTTGAGAAGGCAACACTAGAATTAGAGAACCTTTATGGGGGGTGGGGGGAAGTTCACCTCTTGTAAACTGCAATCCTTTCCCAGCAAATTCTTTCTTTAGAGCTGTCACAAACTTCTCTTTTATTCTCTCTTTCTAAAGGATACAAAATATCAGGAGGTAAATTATGGTTATCATACATTTATGGTCACTTTAATTTGCAGATTGTGTGTAAAAAGAGAATGTGCACTGATAGTGCCGTTCAGGTAAGCAATGCGCTAGACCTCGGCGAGGCTGTTCTGGGCACAAATTATGTAATATGGTCTACGAACCACGAAGGACGATTCACTGACAATATAAATCCTGCAGGTAACCCTAGCTCCATGAGTAGAGAAGGTGCCTCCGAAAGATGAGTAATAGGGTAGGTCTTGGCACTTTTTTTTTTTTGGTCACCTAATGATTTAGTATGGCATGTTATAATGGCAGATTGTACCCTCCGTTTATGTGTTTTATTTGTTTAAGCTGAATGATTTTATGGCAGGAGGCATCACGGTCATTTATATAACTCAAAAAAGGGAGCTATTGTTCCATACTGTATTAATACATATTGTCCTTTGATGATGTTTAGAATAAAGATATTATCCCTGTTATAAGATTTTGATGCATCGCAATAAAAATGAAATTTATAAAAAGGGAATCTGAAATCCATTGTAAATATGGTGGTAAATGCAGAATATATGGAATTGTAATGTTATAGGACAATTCTGTTTATTGAGAGAGCCAATGATGAATATCTAGAATTAGGTTGTCTAATTAATTCATGACAGACTATTTAAAAGGCGTGTGCCTCCCAGAACAGCAATGTTCTAACATACTTTATCTAACTCTGAGAATTCAAGCCTTTCTTCTTGAGTACAGCTTCTCCCTATGGGCGAGATATTCAGCATCCCATTACGAAATTCAATAAAGGTCCCTCTAAAAGAGAACACAGAATACAATTTTTAGATGAATGACTTACAGTATTTTTACTTCTATAATTTTACTTTTTGACTGTTAGTGGTGAATTATCTTTATTTTACTTAACCCTCATTCAATTCTATCCTTTTTTCTTTCTTTAGTTATAGAACATTTTTAAGCTTAAAGTGGAGTTCATAAATAAGAATATTGTTTTTCATATGAATTCTCAGTTGGTCATTTTTTCTGCAGCAATTAATCATTCTATTTATCACTGTCTACTGCATTAACATATTACAAACCTTGAAGTACAAAGAAAGATTAAAGGCAATGTGGACTAAATATCCAGTAGACAAACAATGCCCTCTTGTAGTGTCAACAATTATCAAGCAAAAAGTAAACATGGTCAGATATATAAACCATTTTCTCCCAAGTAGAAAAGGATCAGGCTTCTGCCATTTCTATTACCACAATTAAAGGGTTACCCCAACCATCACAAGCACTACAGTCTGCTTTAGTGGTTATATTACACTGGGTGTCCTCTCCTGATGGTTTATGACATAAGGCTTCTACAGAGCTGCAGAAGCTAAATGCCGATCCCATCTCCATTCAGTGGCTGAGAGTGCCAACAGATCACTCTAAGTCAATCGAAAACAGAACTATGTACAGAATTAATATTAGTCTGCCAGGAACTCTTGTTTTGGGTTGGCTAACGACACCTGACTGATGGAGTTACACCTGTGGCAGATAAGGGGTTAAACTCAGTTTGTGAAGCGTGTTACATAGTGAAACACTGCACGGACTCCAGACTCCATGCCTTTTTTTAAATCACAGAAGTAGTCATGGTGTTTGGGATAACCCTTTAATTACAAAAGGTATGGCATTCAGTATCATACGTGGAATAACAGATGTAAAGAGAGAACTCAGAAAAAAGTATTTGAGGTTAACTTTATCGAAAGATACAGCCTAATTAGAAAGATAAACAGTTATTTTACGACAGCGTAAAATGTTACAGAGATATGCAACATCTTATTAGGATAACATAAGATGGTTACCAACCGTTTTTTGGGGAGTTTGAGTAGTGCAATGTACATGAGGCAAAAGTTAATCAGTTCTTGAAGCAGCTCTTCACCAAGATGGTTCTGGATGGCCTAAAAAAAGTTTCAAGAGGTCAGTGTAAGGAGTGATAGGATACTATTTATTTATTTACAAAATATTGTACCAGGAAGGATCCATTGAGATTTCTCTCATTTTCAAGTCCTGGTTATATGAGGTCATTGGATACATACACCATATGCAGAAGTATTGGATCGACTGAGATAATCAAAGATATGAAACAGGAGGGTGGCTGAAAATGTGTATCAACATGTGTGTACCTGTGCTGTGCTGTGTATATGTATCTGCGTATCTGTCTATCAGTGTGTATCTGTGTCTATGCACCTGTACATCTCAATGTGTATACATCTAAGCATTGTGCCAACACTACATACAGATACACACCTGCATTCAAACATCAAGACTTTGTATAATGTTGGAGTTTTAATATAAAGTTGTGGTTCTATGTAAACACACCACTGCATTCAAAAACCACACTACACAGAAATGCATGTCTGTACACAACACTACATTCACTCACATACTCCATACAAAACATGCTGAAACATGCTAAAAATTCAAGCACATAAATAAATACAACCCTGCAAGGATGGGAAAATGGTAGATCCCCAGCTGGCAAGGCATTGTGGGAGCTGCATGACAAATGTGAATCTACCTTTTGGCCACTCTTGTGAAAGGGGAGGGCCCCCAAAAAAATCTTGCACCAGGGCCCTCTCTACTTGGTTCCACCACTGCACAGCTGGCTGGAGAATTGGTCCAAGTCAACTATTGTTGAAATTCAGATTTTAATTTGCTACAATTTGAAGTTAAGTGAATAAAGCCTTTAGAAGAGCTGTGTTGCATGAGACTCGGTTGTGAATGATATGTCAGCTGACATGTATAAAGAAGCATCCTGTACTGTGGCAAGGAAAATCCCCTGGATTATGAAGTGCTTATCAATTTAGGTGAATTTTGTGAGAACATTCTGAAGGAGCCATCCACAATCCAACTAGTGAGTGGAAAGTATCTACATATAAATTTTATATGACCCTACCAAGGCTTTCCCCTTGCTCTGAGCGGTGCGTAAAAAGAGATAACTGTGTAAAACGAGAGCAATCCCAAGTAGTTGCACTTAAAACACCAAAAAAAGTTACACAGGGTCAAAATAAAATTTGCCGAACTAACATCCACCAAGTCATTTTACATTTAAATTTAAAAAAAAAAAAAAAAAATGCATTAATACCTTGCTTTACAGAACTTTGCTATTACAGCACTTTTTAATTATACTTAGTTGCTGAATCTCAACTCTCTTTACTGTTTTAAGATAAGCAATCCCTATGTTAGTAGAATTTTTTATTCATTATTTTTACTTTTTTTTTTTTTAAATCTATCGCTCTTGCATACTCAATATACACATTAGCGTAAGCATGTTTTATGGATTTTACATGCACTAACAAATGGAAAGAAAAAAAACAACCCGTGATTTGTTTTACAGCGTGGACTGCAGCCTAAACCTGTTATATTAGTGATGTATGCCTGAGTACATATTTAATTGCAAGTTATTCAAATTACAGAAAAGTGTTGGGCTTACCTGTCTGGTAATGAGTTGTCCATCCTTATATTGAACTGTTCCATTCTCAGCAAATATGTAATCAAACTTCTGGACCACTTCAATGAAAAAAGTGATACGGAACATTAGGGTCATTGCTAGGTTTCAGAAACTATAGACTACAATAGCTATGTCCTTAGCTTTCCTTGCCAAGATAGTGAAACTAATGCTGACCTGGATAGTAAACAGTAAAAAATAGAGTAGGCATTAATATTTGTTCGGTTTAATGTTTTGACTATCTGAAGCAGAATTAATGGAATACTCTACGCACCAAAATAACTTTAGCTTCATGTAGCAGTTTTGGTTTAGACCATGCACATGCTGTCACACTGCTCATTTCTTTCCTGCTTAGGAGTTAAATAACTTTAAATAACCTTTTATATGCGTCCCTAGCTACATCTTCAGTGGCAGGGACTCACACAGCCTCCATGAAAAATAGAGGGGGGGGAGGGGGAAATTTCATTTTTGCAGCAGAGTGTGTTTACTTTAAATGTTCTGTTAATTAAACAAGGCCAATGTGGGCTCTAGCATTAAATTAAAAGAACGGGAGAAAAAATTAATACAAAACATACTGTGCAAGAGGGGAAGCTAAATTATTTCATGTAGTGAGGCCGGGTGAGTCAAACTAGGGCAAGTGTGGCAAGTTATTTAATTGCTAAATGTCAGAGAACTGCTGGGGGAGACTAAATATGAGTAGTACTATAGCTATATAAAAGGGGCTGTAGTAGCAAAACATAACAACCAAGGACAGAATAATGGCAAATGTAAAAGCAATATTTATGGACTGCGATAATGCTTTTAAAATGTACCTACTGAAACGGCAACCTCTGAAGCACAGATGAATAAGCTAAAATACTTCACAAACACATATGATCATACAATAGAAAAGAAACTAATAGACAGAGAAATCTGTTAGACCTTTAAAAACACTAAATAAGTAATACTATGAATTTTTATTGAGTATAGCTCTACAACCTATGTCATTTGGCCTGAATAGCGGGGTAAGGATTTGGAAAAGAGATAATTCCACTGTAGTGCAGAAACAAACCACTAAACTAAATACAACTATAGAGACACAGCCAACCTACAACAGAGGAACAGAAACCACATTTAATAGATTCAAGGCTTTCTGGATGAAGTATAATCCCATAAAGGGCAATCAGCATTAGCCTTGATATTTCATGATAATAAAAATTAAATACAAAAATAAGATTGTGCAGAATGTTCTATACCATAAGAAAAATGAATTTTTTGCATGTAACACTTAAAATTATTCAATGCTTGTCACATAAAACTTCACCTGGTCCAATCGTTTCCAAACCACCACTCACACACTATGCGTTTCGTCCCAGCAGGCTTCCTTAGGGGCTCCCAGTGGGTTGTAAATCACATTAAAGTGCAAATAAAACAATAAAAACAAAATGAAATTCGTTAAATAAGTATATCACTGATACACTAGTTTTGTTTTTAATTTTTTAATTGCACTTCGATGTGATTTTAAATCCACGGATTAGGGTGTGTCGTGATATTTCAGAAATTACTGAACGTGGTGATTTTTTATGTATATGTTGTGCATATCAAGATTGGAAAATCCTGGGAGACGCGAGCCATTAATTGCAATGCTAAGTATCCAAGATGCAACCTTGGGTGTGTTTGAGGTAGTGGCGTACATACTATTTTTTATTTTTTTTTAAGTTCTTTATTTATGAATTGAAGAAGCAGGCAATACAAACACTAAGGTGAAACAAATAGTATCAATTGCTCATTTCTACTTTTCTGAAATAAGGATATGGGGAAAAATAAAGAAAGGAAAAAGAAGGGGGGATGGAGCCCACTGCAGTGTAACCTTGTGATAAAAAAGTACATTCATAACTAAAACAATAAATATAGTCTTGCCATGGTGTCCATATCTTTTCGAATGAAGTGTGTTGTAAACCATTGCTAACAATTTATCCATTAAATGATTGTCTTGGATTTTGGTCCTAACCTAGCTCATTGGTGGAACTGAGGTAACTTACCACGGTGTGGCCAGAGCTAATATTATTTTGTTAAAAAGTTTTTGAGCCCTTGTTGGAAAGCCCTCCAGAGGGTGGGATGGAGTACGTACTTTTGTATGGTAGACACAAACCACTACCAAGAAATATTTATAATGTGAATTATGGGTGGAAATATCTTGACTCTCTAGATACAAAAAAAAGAGCTTTGTTGTCATCTCAATACCTGCCCCCATAGTCAAAATATACTGAATTACCCTCATCGCCCTCTCCAAGCTGTTCAGCAATCTTTCCATAATCAGAGCCTCCCACTACTCCAATCTTCACCCTTTGTCTCAGATCCTGTAGAAAACAGTCCACTTCCGGGTCTACCTTCTGTTAAAGACAGGGAAGAAGACAGGAAGTGTTAGCAAAAATGAAACAGAAGAAGTATTTGCACAGATGTTGTTAGGGGTGGTTTTAGGGACTAAAGCTCTGAAAGTGGAGTTCTTCAACTCCTGTTCTATTTAGGTGACAGAATACTGGTGCTTTTATCATTTTATACTTGGCAGTAGCAAATCAAAGTAGTGCAGTATAGCTTTAGCACATCCCTGTTGGTTACACTACTAGAGTAATGTTAATTAGGGCTAATGTGAGAAATGGAAAGACACAAAAGAAGGTTTAGGAGAACTGGGAGAGATAGACCCAAGCAGAAGAATAGAAATGGGGGAATACAACAACAGTGTTGGGGTGAGGACTTTAGGGCTGTAGTAGTTAAAGGGTGGGATTTGTCACTGGCCTTGGATGCAGCCTAGTTGGAGGTGTTATCTTTTGCAGGGGGTTTTAGACTACAGTAACAGCAAATATTAGAGAGATGTACAGATAAATATAAATCATACACACTTTGTAACAACATGAACAGGTAAATAAAGGCAAATAATGTGGGTGAGAGTTAAATTGAGAAGATAAGTGTGGCAAATATTTTCTAAAAGGGTTTGTAGTCACGGTGTTAAAGTTTCACTAGAGGATATAAACATATGGTTCAGTGAGTTTATGGAGTTTGTTTTCTTTGCTTGAGCTACACTTTGTGACCTTTTGTACTTCAACATACTGTTGTGGTACATATTTTTAAATATCCAGCTTATTTGCATTCATTTGTTAGAACCCTTAAACAATTCAGCCTAGTGAAAAAGGTGAAAAGTTGTTCATGCAGTCCTTGCGAGCCAGAATCAGGCAGGATGTCTTAAAACACTGTTGCTTTTTCATTAAAAAAGGGAGTCTTGAAAATCTGATTTAATAGCATTATTGGACACTCTATTTTAAAATCATATATCATATGAAAGATCTTAAGGGCACCACGAGCAACATAACCTCTACAGCTCAGTGCAGTCATTATGTACCCAACACACACCCTGGGAGCAAGTGACTGATTCTATGTCAAACCAAAATGGTTGCTTACCAAAATAGGGGCTATTTCCTGACTGCGTTCACCTTATCCACATTGATAATACAATGTTTACACTTCCACATAATCAATGGAAAATTTGTCCAACATGACTGCAGTGGCAGACTGATAACGCTGGAGGATGGGTTAGCTGCCCAAAAGGTTTGACAAACATTTAGACTGAGCAGTAGCTGGCATGGTGCTTATAGAGTGTCCCTTTTTTTTGGATACATTTATTTTGACAAAATGTCTTATTTCAATTTATGAAAAAGTTAATCAAGAATGCACATAATAAAGGCCTAGATAACACATATGTTAATATTATACAGAATTCTAAGGTAGACAGGCCAGACTTGCCTTCTGCCTGGATCCTTGTTGCTGCATCTCAGAAATCTCCAAACAAAAACATCTGAATACTAGTATAACTATGTTGGCTCAATAGAAGCAAAAGATACTGTCCATCCTACAGTAGAAGCAGACAAAGCAAGAGGAGCTCCATGACAGTGAAGCTCTGTGAACTGTTCTTCATGATAGGTTTAGGTAATTGTCCTGCTCGATGGTTACCTTCAACCTTGGTTAGACTAAATGTCTATACTAGATCCTCGAGATCCCATCTTACCTAACAGTGTATGTTCTCTCCTTAAAGTATTGCCCAATCTACCCGCATTTCAATCTTTGTTCGTTGCTGCACCTTATTCGTCACTTGAAATTCTCCTCACCCCTTTTTATTTCTTCTCGCTTAGCTTTTTCCAGCGTTTCCTATCTGTCTCTGTGTCCTAATAGACTAGCTCTAATGACCTTGTGACAAAACTGGCTATACCAGATGGAAATTACACGTTTTAATAACATTTGTGCACCATTTGGAATAAAGCTGGTTGCTGGTGTATTGTGAAAAGATGACTTTTTGTTTAAACGTTACACTGTTAAACTCATTTCCTATCTTTTTTTTTTGCACATGTCCCCCCTCCCCATGTATAATTTTTATTGGTTTGTATACTACATGGTTCAAGTGTCAACGATGTCTCACAGAAGTCCAGCCAATAATAATTCAATATATAAAGAAAAATGTCTTGAAAATCATATATGTGTAACAAAATATATGGCAAGCAAAAACAACAGTTAGGTGCTGGATAAAGATCTAAGGCCTATATCTTAGTAAATACACATCCATGCATAACATAACCTGTAACAACTTGTTCAGAAGGAAAAAAAGGGAGAGCCAGGGTAAGGGTTCTTCTACCCTAGCTCTTCCTACCTCCTAGGGAGAGCCGGGGTAAGGGTTCTTCTACCCTAGCTCTTCCTACCCTTCCTTCCAACAAGATATTACAGGGACCAGCAGAAATGCATGACTTTGTGACATATTTCATTAAATTTCTCTGTGGAATTTGTCAACCTGTGTGCCATTTCTCATGGTTTCAGGGTAATTGTAACACATTGCTAGTTGGAGAATTTGGTGGGTCATTGGGTACTTTCCATCTAGGCTAGATTAATTCTGTCTGCCAAGATGATGTGAAGAGTAAGGGTTTTATGGGTCCCCTGAACGACATGGGGAGCATGTCGAAAAAGGAAATGTTATTCAAGAAGTGGTAGATGTTTTTGGAGGATGTCTTATCAGGGTGCCTACAAACTGCCAGTAACTAGATATTTGGGGGGAACTGATATGGAGCATAGTTCTAGGTTGTTGCCTGCAACTCCAGCAGATTGGAGGAAGTTGAATAAATATGCCCAATCTTACAGGAACTAAGTACTACAGGAGTAGCATTTACAGTTGGCTTCCCAGTGGAGTACTCATATGGAAATACCCCTTATTGGTTGCAGCTGACTTCCATTTTTCCGGTGTGTAAGAAAATTGGAGTTCGCACTAATTAGGCTATAATGCACAAGTTTTTTTTACAAAAATAAAAACACTGAAAACTACGTTACAAACATTAAAGGAACACTACAATATTTATTTTTAACATTTAGGTGTTCATTTTTCGTTTAAGATTTAACCCCACCCTGTGTTAATGGAGAAACAAAATGTAGATTAAAGTAAGTGTCCTCGCCAATGCCCATGATTGTAATTGATGATCTTGGGTCCAATCCAAAGCTTCTCATAAAGAAGCACTGGGGACTTACAGAACATGAGCATTAATGGCTGTGCTCAACCAGTCATTTGCTTTTCAAATGCATTTAAAATGTGTTCCATTACACATAAAGCCATTTATATGAAAGTATCAAAGAACCGTTCGAGTCTATAATACAGTTACACCCCAATTGCCTTTACAATAACTTATGTCTTCCATATTGATTTATGCCATTCCTACACTCTCCAAATCAAAATAAAATCTATTCATAGCTATCGAAATGACAGTCAACATTTTTACCAACATTGGGATGTGGCGGGTCACTGGCGATTCATATAACAGGCATTCATGCCTAGAAAGTGGACAATCCTGCCTAGGCTTACCCCAAACACTGAAGACCATGCAGACAGCTGTGCTTTGGCCCTCTCTGCGAGCTCTTAGAGCCTGAAGCACAGCGTGAGCACATCTAATGATGCATTTGCGCTGTGCTGCCTCAGGAACGTTCCCTTATCTCCCACATCCTGGGATAGTGGGACAGGACCCTGGAATAGGGGTGGTAAAGCTAAAATTAGGACGGTCGGGAGACCTGAACCAATACTGTTATAGTCGATCAAATTACTTTATATGGCAAAGTTTTTCTGGACGTTTCAAATAAATTGGAGGGGATTTTCCAAATACATTTACTGTATCTTCAACACCATAAAAGTGATTACAAATAACACGTTTGACTGCAACTTTTTCTTTTTAATTTATCACATTTGTACTCCTTTGTGTAATATTGATGTTCTCTAAATTAGGTTATGTCAACAAAATACAAAAACATATATAGTTAGATGTCTGAAATCTGCAGTGCGCGATACATTATTGTTATAGCAAGTACAGTTTTATTAATGACATATTTATATGCACTGAATCTATAAAGCACATGTGTACACATTCTTTGCACAAGAAGTGGGACCAGACTTTCAGAAGATAAGATTAGGTTCATAACAACAACCAGAACTAGTACAAAGGTTTGATGTTTTTCAGGTTATCTGATATAGGTAGCAGGTCGGGAGTCACACCCAAAACAGGAATAACAACAGTTCTAGGCCATTAGAGAGGAGCAAAACAAAAATAGATTTTGTAGTTATAAATCACTTCTAAAAGGTTACTATGTATAATATTACATATCAAACATTAAAGGGAAACTATAGTCACCAGAACAACTACAGCTTAATGTAGTTGTTTTGGTGAGTATAAGCGTTGCCTTCAGGCATTTTCATGTAAACAGTGCCTTTTCAGAGAAAATGCAGTGTTTACATTGCCCCTAGCGACACCTTCAAGGGGCCACTCCTCAGATGGCCACTGGAGGGTCTTCTTGGCTCAGGGCTGCACAGTAAGCAGCCCTGCTGTTCAGCGTCCCACACCCTGCATGGAGATGCTGAATTTTCCTAGCACACCATTCTCTATATACTGCATGCCCTACACACACTGCTTTACCAGCAAAAACACACTACATCACACACACACACACACACACACACACACACACACACTTCTTACTTACAGCCCTTAAACACATACTACATTACAAAACAAACATCTATTTAGCATTATTCAACATTATTAGAAAAATGATGATGGAAGCTGAAAGAAAAACAAAAGAGGCAAGGGGTGTCTGAAAATGCAGTTATTCCTAAGCCCAGTAATTTTGAAGACAGCCCAATTAAAAGTAACCCGGAGCGATTACCTCGGTGCCGTTGCCAACAGTTTTGTTTTTGCCAGGACAGTCCCATGATTTGGGCTATGGTCTGGCGCAAAATGGGTCTTAGGATGTGTCCTGTGAATTGTTCCTGGGCCCCTGTTAGCTTGCAGTCCTACCCGCACAGCCAGGAGGAAGTGATTACACTTTACTTCCTCCTGATGTGCAGAGAGCTATGCAGGGGATAGAAACACAGAGAGGTGAAGGGGAGACAGGAGCAGACCACTACACACAAATACACCCCTGCATTCAAAACACACATATTTCTAAACACACAGACAAAACCTTCAAGCTTGGGCAAATTGGAGATCCCCAGCTGGCAAAGCATTATACAGCCAATGATGATCTATCTTTTGGCTACACCTGCTCAGTAGGGGGCCCAAATATCAGGGCACTCTCCAATAGTTCTGCAACTTATTAGGAAGGCTTATAGCATGGTTGCATTTAAGATCAAGCCCTGTCTCCTGTAAACCACACAAACAGAAGAATGTGGCTCTGAGGAGGGATATTCTGGAGGGGAAAAAAGAATCAGAAAGACCAATAAATCTGTTATGTTGCCTGAAAAATGGCATATATTCAAAAAGATGGATAGAGCAAAAAAAGAAGCAGCAGATGGGGAAGAAAAACACCTTCTAACAAATTACAGCCAATATTTTCTGAAAATTAGACATAAAAGTGTAGGCAGCACTTTGACACATCTCTCTTGAATCCCTGGGAATGTTTTTTTCAGAATTTTGGCAACTACGATCTCCAAACATATATTTCTAAAACACAGTTTACGTTTTGGGCCCCTGGGGCCCACCCCTTAATCCACCCACAGGGTCCATGCCCAGGTCCGCCCACAAGGATGCAGTGTGTGTACAGTGGATGCGGTGTGTGTGTTTAGTGCCTGTGTAGTGAATGCAGTGTGTGTTTGTGTGGATGATGTGTGCAGTGGCCGGGGTTTGCGAGAGTTGGAGAAAGCTTCCGGAAGCAGAAGATCACATGAGCTGAGCATCCTCTTCAATATGCAGGCGGCAGGGGGCCCGCCCGTGCAGTGGTGGAACTAATGTAAAGAGGGTGCAATACTGGTGCAATGCTTTTTTTGGGCCCCCTCTAGCATAAGAGTGGCCAAAATATAGATCCCCATATGCGGTACAAGTCCCACAATGTTTGCCAGGTAGGGATCTACAATTTGCCCATCCTTGCATGGCTGTATTAAGCACTGAGCAGTGTTTGTGTGGTTGAATGTAAGCATGGTTTTGTACGGAGTATGTGTGTGTGTGTGAATGCTGGTGTTTGAATGCAGATGTGCATTTGTATGCAATGTATACACTGCCACACATACATATACACACACACACACTGGCATACATGCAAATACACAGAGGTACACACACACATACACTCAGGTGCACACAGATGCAGACACACAGACGTTGGTTATTCTTTAGCCACCCTCTGTTTCTTACCTCTCGGAGTGTGGCATCTGCTGGCTGGAGCTGGTGGGAGTCAGGGTCTGGCTCTCCCCTCCTCTATGCTTTCTCCTGTGCCTCTTTCCTATCACATGGGTATTAGCTCGGAAGAAGATACCTCACTTCCTCCCAGCACTGGCTGCCATCTTTAAAGGGGCCCAGTTGCTCTATTAGAGAGAGGCAGCGCACAATCAGGCGGCTTAGGAGATAAGTCCATCGGATGGCCCTTAGTGCATGGGCTACCTGATGGGCCCTCTCAGTGTGTGGTGGTAGATCCGCCACAGAGCACATATGTACAGCGATAAATATATTTATACACACACACACAGTGTAAATATGGGGCCTGGACCCCTGATGGTGGCCCTATGCCCTTTTAAAGTTTTATTTCATCTCTCCTGCTTATGTTATGGTTAGAGTGTAGATTAGGTTATACAATTTTTTGACACATTATTGAACACATAAGATACAGTTTTGGTAGCTGTGAAAAGGGAAAGTGAAGTCTATGAATGAAAGAAAAAAAAAGTTACTTAGCACTTGTAAGACATCCACATACCATAAGAGCTCATGCATTACAGGGCCACTCCGGACATAAAAAGGGACACTCCAGACACCAATAATACTTGAACGCATTTGACAGGTTTTGCCTTTACAACATCCAGTATTTCTGCATGCTCTAATCTTTATAATTTTTGCATGAAATAAGTAAAATGTTTTGCAGAATGCTACACCATAAGCCTGCCTCTTTATCCACATCCCCTCACTCCAGAAAAAGACTTCCTTATCAAAAGGTATGCTCACAGCTCAGTCACTGACAGTACTGAATGATCTGAACAACATAACAACCTTCACTGGAAGAGGAGAGAACTCCCAGGAAGATATATAGTAAGCATAGGCGTGCGCACTGGGTGTGCCGGGTGTGCCTGGGCACACCCTAATCCCCGCAGCACGCCTATGGAGTGAGACCGACAGGGGAGATCTCAGGATCTCCCCTGTCGGCTCATGCAGAGCCGGCTCTGCTCTCAGCCTCCCCACTGACCCACAGGCAGGGAGGGAGACAGGAGAGGATCCGGGGAGCTCTTGCCAGCAGCTCCGCCGGGTTCCTCTCGTGAGATCTGAGCGTTGCCGTGGTTACCGCGGCAACGCTCAGATCTTGCTCTCGTGAGAGTGAACTCTAGCCCCGCAGGCTAGAGTTCCCTCTCACCACTAGGACCACCAGGGAAGGCAGAAAGGATCCCCCCACCCTGGCATAAGGTAACAAGGGAGGAGGGATATTAAGTAATCTGCCCCCACCTCCACTGGACCACCACGGAAGGCAGCAGCACGGTCCCCCCTCCCTACATAAAGTAAGAAGGGAGGGGGGATATTTATTAACTAATCTGCCCCCACCTCCACCCCCACAAATCACCCAAACATACAGCACCCACACACACACACAGCACACATACAGCACAAACACACAACACACACAAAGCACCCACAAAGCACACTAACAGTACCCTCACAAACACAAACAGCACTCTTACACAGCATACTAACAGGACCCTAACAAACACACACACAGCACACTACCAGTACCCTTACACACAAACAGCGCCCTCACACACAGTACATTAACAGCACCCTCACAAGCGCGCGCACACACACACAAACACATTCACCCACATAGTACACTACCAGCACCCTCACATGCACACACACACAAACACCCTCACCCACATAGCACACTACCAGCACCCTCACACAGAGCACACACACCGCGTATATGTATGTGTGTGTATATATATATATATATATATATATATATATATATACACACACACACACACACACACACACACACACACATACATACAAGCGGCGTGTGCTTGTGCTTTAGGGTAAACACCCTAATGCAATAGGCTGCGCACGCCTATGATAGTAAGGATATCACTACCTGTTTGTAGTGTTATGGGCAAATGCAAATATTACACGTTTTAGAATGAAATGTATTTCTTAAACTGTGTACTTTGTCTTTAAGAGATATTGCAAACTGACAAGGTGTTAGAAATAGAACATATTGTTTTTCATACATGTTTCTTTAAGCAATAACCTCAGTGCATAATATGTTTGCGCCATTTTGTCCCAGACGAATTACAATAACAATAATGCATAAACAAGCTTCAAGGCTATGCTACGACTCTTGCAGTACACAATATACTGTGGTAACCCCAAATTAATGGAACTTACCCAAATCTGGGAATCTCCCACGACTGTACACTTACGACTTAGTATAAACAACAGATAACCTATTCAGACTTTAAGATGCCATCTTGAACTAAGTCAGGAAAATTTCCATGACGTTTGCACCCTTTAGTTATGGCCTTGTATGTTTGCCAAATTAAGGGAGGTCCTAAAATGAATAAAGTAAATGAACTACGGTAACCCTAAAATGGAGACACCTAAGGTATAAATAGGTGTACTTTTAAATGTTAAGACACAGAGGAGAGACTTGGAAACAGACGCTGCTCCATCTTAAAATGACAGAGAGGCTGACATGATGACATGTTCAGAAGGGTATGTTAACCTATTAATGATATTTGTGAGCATTTAGTTTAATCTTAGAAATTCTGCTATATGGATTTTATATTTTTATATAATAAATATCCAAAAAGACAAAACTATTGCTTCCAAGACAATCCTTATTTTATATTGTATTCTCAATTATTTATATATGTTAAATAGAGGATCTCTTACTAACTATATAAAATTATGGCTAAGATATCTGTATGGTTAGCCCTACTAAGTTCTATGTTTTAAGACATTATAGTGGTAAATAAGGGAACCACCTGCGGTTACAGTAGCTTCTCTGACTATCTGCAGCCAGGTTGTGAATTACAGGCCAAATCACTCAGTGCTGTTGGGGGTTGAGACTTTGTGCATACTTTTGATAAAGAAGTCTTTCTGGCATGAGGGTCAAGGCTAAAAATTCAGGCATACGATGCAGAATTCTGCAAAACATTTCCTTTTTGTGTACCAAAACTATAAAGATTTGAGCATGCAAAAAAAAAAAAGAAAGGCCAAAAGTCTATCAAAAAGTACCTATAAGTGAACAGAAGCAGGAAGCTCTTACATAATATTTTTCAGGTCATAGCAACTTTAGTTAATAAAATTAGGGGAGAGAGGGGAGCTTAGTGCTCTATAGTCTATGTAAGGAGACTAGGTAGTATATGGCGCTTGGAGAGTCCATTTGATTGTAGACCAGGGAAACAATATGAAGTGGCATTTGAGGGCCATATGATTCTTTTAATGGGATTACACATATATTAACACTTGTTGACTAACAAAATATTTGCTAAAAAAACACAACAAAAAAAAACAACAATGCTGTATTTATAAATAGCAATTCAAGTATAAGACCATTAACAGGAAGAACCTAAAGGTTTCTACAGTGACTATTGGCCCCACACTTCTCTTTATATATACACACACACTCTGTCCAGCCCTGTTTTAAATGTGGTGTAATAAGTGAAAATATTTGCTATACAATGTGGAACATTTAAAGGGATGTCATTTCTTACATAAATGGCCATGCCTCACAGGTTTGCCTAGCGACACACAGCAACAGACAATACTTAAAAGACCGTTCCACACAGGACTTGTAAATCCTTATACCAATTACTTCTACCAACCCTTGACGGAGGGTACACCAGTTGTTTTAATTGGGCCAGAGTACTGGTCACCCACTGGTTCCATCAGGTTGGACAGGTTTCACAGTGTAAGAGCCAGTGCTTGGGGATTTAGCACACCATAACTCATGTTACCCTCCACCCAAAGCATACAAGGCAGAGGAATGGGTCAGAACATTTACTGATACCTATCCAGTTAATGATTACCAATACCATTCACCACACATGAAGACTATGGCAGAAGACGAGGAGGGTAATACTAAATAGAAAAGCTACAATTTGTGGGGAAATTGTGTGAAGTGTTTTTGCCTCCACAAGTAGTCTACAACTGGAGTGGGCGGAGTAACTGTTATTATTTATATATCACATTTAATTGCAACATTGTTGCCCAAAGTGCGTCACAGTTACATTAAAACATACATTTATAAAAACATTAGCAGGTGTTCAAAAGGCCCTGTCTATGACATCACTTGCTGCTGCAGCCTGGCACAGGTCAGAGTATTTTGGCGGTTTCCATCTTCAAACCGTCGTATTTTAAAAACTATAAATCCTACAGCGAAGAGCTTTATATTGTGAGAATCACAAGACCCAGACCTACATTTTGATGCATAGTATGTCTCTGGAATATTAATAATTAAGGCACAGTCGCAGTTTAGATATTGACCTTCAAATTTGAGGTGGCTAGAGTGGAGTTTCAAAGTATGTCAATGGACGGCGTGAGTTGCAAACAAATGGTCATATTGTGAAAACTATCAGGACTATGGCTTAGCCGTGGACATCTTTAGTGGCAGCAGGGATAGCTGAACATTTTGATATAAGATGTGGGAGTGAGGGAGTGGTGGCAGTTAGAAATCATGTCCTGATTTTTCAGCTTTTGCCAGCTCCCACTCTAGTTTTGAACATTTTGCCATTCATTCCTATGGTACCAATTCCGCCACAAGAACGACGATATTCCGTGAACCATTCAGCGAAATGTTCCACAAAGTAAGTGCACACCAATCGGGAACAATCCGCACGTTTCGGTATATTACTGTTTATGTAGTGTAAAAACTGTGGGAGGAGTTAGGGTGGTAAATTTGGCTATAATAATAAGAATAATAATAATATATATGTGAGATAACATTAAGTGGTCTTGCTATGCAAGAACACTTAATAACAATAATACGTTTGCAAGATGAAACCCAGCATTCTGAAATTTGACAGAATGTATTCCTTTCCTATGATGCAAGGAAATGTTGACTTTCTGGGTTTTTTCTGGACCTCATTAGCAACGGGTATATATATATCTGCACACACTATATTACAATTGGCGGGAGACTTTGTTTTCAGGCTACAATTACTATGTTATTATGTTAAAGAATAATTCTAAACCAGTATAGTCAAAGATTTTATGATCTTAAGCACACAAATTCAAACACGTTTGTAGATAAGCAGGGGGAGTGAAAACAGAGATGTTTACCTTTCACACAAGCGAATGTTATAGCAAAATAATCCAGGGAGGTATTTATGTTTTCCAGACCTTACATGACTGTCATGTGTGTTATTAATCAATGTGATATATACTAAACTGCTTTAAGTGTTATCAAAAATTTAAACATTAGGAATTTCACTGTTCTTGTTCGCCACAACTGTTGCCTCAACCTAACCCCCTGGAATCTGAATTCTCTTGACCTCCAGCAACTCTCAGCTGACGCTCATCTATCCCTACCATATCCTGTCCCTCTCTGGCTATCTCCTCATATAATGCTACCCTCACCTCTGCCCTAGATGCTGCAGCCCCACTTCAAGCACGCTCCTCAAGGAGGCCGCACATCTATCGGTGACACACTAAGTCAACCCGCTACCAGAGATGCTCCTGTTCAGCTGAATGCTGCTGGTTGAAGTCTCGCACCTTATCAGACTTGCTACACTATAAATTTGTCATGCGCTCATACAGTGCAGCCCTCACCCTTGCTAAGCAGTCCTACTTTTCTTTTCTCATTAGTTTATGCTCCTTCAATCCTAGGCATCTCTTTAATACTTCTAACAGTCTTCTTTGCCCTGCTGTGGCAGCCCCACAAACTAATCTTTCAGCTGATAGCTTTGCATGTTATTTTACTGATAAGATTAAACAGTTAAGGATTGAATTCTTCCCCCTTCTCCCCTCCCTAGGACCATACCATCCCTACTCTCTAAGACTTCCATCCAGCTACTGAACAGGAGGTGGCTGCGTTTCTCCTCTCGTCCCACCACCTGTACGCTTGATCCAGTACCTTCCCACCTCATCAGAGCTCTCACTTCTTGTCTTGTACCATCCTTAACACACATCCTAAACTGCTCTCTTTCATCTGGTGTTGTCCCTGCTCCCCTTAAGCATACTACTGTCGTACCCATCCTAAAAAAAGCCATTCCTAGACCCGTCTTCCACTTCCAACTATCATCCTATATCCCTGCTTCCTTTTTCCTCAAAGCTAGAAAGAGTTGTCTTTACTCGTATGTCTCACTTCCTAAATTCCAACTCCCTCCTCAATCTGGCTTTCGCCCCCTCCACTCTACTGAGACTGCTCTTATTAAAGTTACAAATGACCTAATCACAGACAAATCCAAAAGGCCACTACTCCATACTAATTCTTCTTGACCTCTCTGCTGCCTTTGACAATGTTGATAATGGCCTCCTTCTCCTAACTCTTCAATCTCTTGGTCTCTGTGACACAGCCCTCTAATGGTTCTCCTCCTATATCTCCCAACGCTCCTTCAGTATCTCTTTTTCCAACAGCACCTCCTCTCCTTGTCCTGTCTCAGTCGGAGTCCCTCAAGGTTCAGTTCTTGGTCCCATTTTTTTTTTTTTTGACATTCTTTATTTAGTTTTGTGGTTTGACAGTATGTAACAATACAAACATTTGTCTCCATAACAGTGTTTCGCTAATGACCCCTTTGGGCATACCCCTTCTCATATCTCCCCCCCTGCTGAGGTACGAGCCTGCTATTAGGGCTCAGCTGGTGGCTGGGTCCTCACGGGTCGGCAGGGACAGCCCCCCGGGGACCATTAGGGGTGCTGTTACTCCCATTCCCCTCTCTCCATCCCGCCCCATGGTTTCGGGCCCCATGCGGGGAGGGTTGTGGGTAGAGCGGTGGTTAGTTGAGGGTGCAGCTCGTTGCGCGGTTGGGTTAGGGTTCCTTGGTTCGAGGCGCGGGCCAAGCACCTTCCTCTAGGGGGGTGATAGGTGTGCGGGGCTGGGTGTTATAGCGTCCCAGTGCAGTCCTGGGGAGAAAGGGACGTCCCTAATTCGTCTGCGTCGCCTAGGTCTTGGTCGGGGATAAGGGGTCCGTGTGCAGGTCACTCCCCTGGGTGGTCGAGTCGGAGCCATGTCAAGACCTTCTGGTTCCCTCTGAGGCCTGTCAGGTGTTAGGGTCTGGTGGTGTCATGTGAACCCCCTGCTCCCCGGGGGCCCCCAGCCGCCCCACGGGGCCAGTGCGTGCGGGGCGAGCTCCCTTTGGGCATCCGTATAGGTGTGCGCATCGGGTGCGTCTCTCCCTACTCAATCTCTCTCTGGCTCATAACCGCCTATGGGGGCTGGGTTGGTTATGTTGTGTGCGTGGCACTATTGGTCCCTGTCGACGCCAAATCTCTTGGTCCCATTTTGATCTCTCTTAATACTGCCTCTCTTGACAAACTGATTAATTAATTTGGATTCCACTACCACGTGTATGCTGACGACACCCTGATATATCTCTTCTACCCTGACCTCTCCCCTGCTGTCCTACAACATGTCGCCAATTGCCTCTCTTCTATCCCTGATTGGATATCCTCCCGCATTCTGAAACTCAATCTCTCTAAAACGGAGTTTCTTACTTCTCCTCCTCAAAACACTGATCCTCCTCCATCACTCTCCCTGCAGGTAGATGGTACCTGCCTCACCCCATCCTTTCCAAGCTCCCTGTTTTGGTGTCACTTTTGATCCTGGCCTCACCTTTGCACCTCATGTCCAGTTTGTTGCTAAAACCTGTCGATTCCAACTTAAAAACATTGACCGCATACGCGCCGTTCTTACAAAAGGTGCTGCCAAGGAGCTTGTTCACGCTCTAGTAATCTCCCGCATCGATTACTGTAATTCTCCCCTAATTGGTCTCCCCAGATGCTGTACTGCCCCCCAACCATCTGGGGAGACCAATTAGGGGAGAATTACAGTAATCGATGCGGGAGATTACTAGAGCGTGAACAAGCTCCTTGGCAGCACCTTTTGTAAGAACGGGGCGTATGCGGTCAATGTTTTTAACAATCTTCATCTACACTGTAAGCTCGTTTGAGTTACCTATTGTTCCTGTTACATTTTGTTATTGTGTCATTTGGTAAATTCCCCTTTTATTGTAAAGCGCTGCAGAAAGAGCTGGAGCTATATAAATACTAATACTAATAATACTACTACTAATAATAAGGCTGGATCTTCTGTGCTCAGCTTAGACCAAATGAATGGCCATTTTACAACAGAGAATTAAAATAGAACATATTGGAGTACTCTTTGTATTTGCACGTTGTGGTTCTGACTGGTGCTTGAACAGGAAACTAGCTTCTTTAACACCCTTCTACGTGCAGGACCAGTGTGAGTCACAACAATAGTCAACAGTTAAAAGAAAAAGAAAAAAAACACAACATTTGCAAAATGATGTCAAACTGGCTATCATCAGATGGTTTTGTTTGTTCAACGTTAAGTGTTGCTGAACGTGCATGTCAGTTTAATGTGGCATGAAAGCAAACACTTTAGCAAGTTATCAAACAGTTATTTATAGAGTCATTCTAGGGTAGTAAATATTTTGTTAGGTGTACAAGACTAATAGCCTACTGAATAGAACACACAATATATATTAACATGACAGCAATATGCTCATTTGCTATCAACAAAGTTTTCAATAAATCATCAGTCATCAAGTAATAATCAGAGTGTACAGCTAGCTGTAGTGTTTATTGTGCCAAGGGTGCCCTGGTGCCGCCAACAGTAAGTAGCCAAAACATTCAATGTGGGATGGCTCAATAACACTCCTAGCACTATAACCACTACTGTGGTATGTAGTGGTTATGGTCCTTTGAGTGTTTCTTTAAATATAGACATCTTGGAACATAATTTCTATCTTTTCTATACAGGCTTAAATTTAGCAAGTTAGTGGTTATCCATGAATAAAGATTTTATAGTATATACAGGTCTTAAATCAATGCACATGTTTTTCTTAATAACGTGCTTAAATGTAATAATGAAATCATATTTCTTAAAATTCTAAATGGTTCTTAAATACATAACAATACAGGTTATGTAAAACACATCACATTAATAGTCATATTTTAAGACAATACATAAAATTAAAAAACATTTGTTTTAAAAAGTGACCCCCGCAGAAATGTGACAAGATTACTGAAAATCAGATGTATAGGTTTATTCACTATAGTAAGATTTATCTAGTAAATTTTTAAATTTAAGACCACTTTGAATTCCTGATAATTCTCAGTTTTAGTGAATAACCCTGCTTAGTGTTAGTTCATGATATAAGTAGTTTGAAGAATACATGCTTGTATAGTAAACTGCTACCACATTTCAGCAGTGGCATAGCTGTGCAAATATGGATGGAATATGATTTTGCAAAAAAAATATTTAAAATAAAATGTAAAAAAATTAAAAATGTTCTCTTTGTAAATTAACCTGTCAAATCTGACAGAGGACAGCATTAACATTATTATTTGTATTAGTTAGAGCTAAATTAATCCACTTAAAGGAAGTTTACATGAAATACATCTATCACAGGGTTAATAGTGAGCATTGTTGATATCTACCTGTCTGGCAGGGGTTAAGGTCCCATCCACATCAAACAGACACAGAGTGTCCCGGTGTTTGGGGAGCTCTGTGTCTGCCATACTGTCCCCATCTGCAGAGGCCGCTATCTGTGCAATGAATGGAAGTAGGGAGTGAAGGAGGCTGGTATTGGGGGGATGGAGGTGTGTGCCAGTCTCCAGCCAATCACAGCCAGGCTGTCGGGTCAGCTGATTGTGGTAAACAAGAAGCAGTGCACGTCTCAAGGATTCCTTCCTGTGTGCATGTTACAGCTGCCAGGGGAGAAAAGTGGGTTAAAGGTCACTGTGCAAACAGAGCTCTGACCCATCTGACCTCTCAAACATTACCTTGGGGCACAGAAAACTGTCTAACTTATGTCTGAAATACCAAATTATTTTACAGAGCCCTACACTGGGTATAAAAAAAAATTATGCATGTGCTTGATGACAAACCAGGTGATGTAGTACATGTTCAAATGTACTACAGTCCTAATTATTATTCAAGCGCCAACAAATTCTGTAGCGTTGTACAATAGGTGAACTAACAGACATGTATTTGCAACAAGAAATGCTGGACAGTAGGAACAGAGGGTTTTGGGGCCCTGCTAAAACGAGCTTATATTCTAATGCTCCTGAGTTTGCCATCCCTCTCAGCCCTACCACACTCACAGACACACAGGTACACACACTGACAGACAAATATACAGACACACATATACACACACAGTTATGAACAACCTCATATACACGCAGGCCCAGTGTTTTTACATTTTACTGTATGCATATCTATGGAATACTTTGTATTTTCTTTAAATTCCAATTAATTATAACTTTGAAGGCACTTACTTGTAAATAATGAAACATAACAATGCACTTTAATGAAAAAGTTATTTTTAAAGAGCAAACTAATTAAAACTGGACGCAAGAGAATACTAAAACCAGACAACTCCAGTAGCTTAAATACTAAACCAACATGCAATACTTTAAGTGAAAACTAGTGGGAGTAAAGATGTAAAATAAATAAAATGACTCTTTCAAAATATTTAACCAGGAAAGGTACTTTCAGATTACTCTGTTTTTCAAATTATGTAGATTACAAGAAGATTCTTCAATTCCTTCTTAGTGAACAGATATAAACATATAATCTACAAAATAAAACACAAGAGGACCACAATAGTGCAATAAATATTGACACCAAAACCAGGCTAATCCATAATATTGCACTCACAGACGTAAGGGTGAATATAGGCAACATAAAACAAGTTATGGCACAAATGCCTTTCTTCTATTTTTCCAGATTATGACATATGGGAGAGAGGGAGAGACAAGAACATGGTTCAAAACTGTATTTGTTGGCGCTTTATAAATGTTAATAACATTAATGAACTCTTTATTAGATTGCTCTCAGGATTGAATATAGTGAAAAGCCCATCAAAATTCCATATCACCCAATCCAAGATCTTGTAGTAGTGTCTGTTTGTGTGGTTCCTTGAAGATCTGTGGCTAGCCCAGTAGAGCATGAGAAGGTAAGATATTGTGTAGGTAAGTAGGCTATCCCAGATTAACTTGATAACCGTCTGCCAGAAGGGTTAAATACAATACAATACAATGGTGCCCCTGTCAACAGAGCATCTCCAGCAAAAGTCGCTAACTGTTTAGTATACTAAATCCAAAGGAACTCATAGGGGACCATTTTAGAGAGCTAGGAATTGCGACCCCCAAGATTCCACTTTTGCCAATATTGACACGAAAATTTGAAAGACAGCTGAAAGTATCCAGCTCTTGGATTACCTGACGTAATGAGACTGCAGGTTTTGTTAACGTAAAGAGGAGGTCGTCCATAAATGCTGATACCTTGTTTCCCCCCCTGCGACCTGTAATCTTCAATAATATCATTATGGCGAATTGCCTTCAAGAAGGGTTACATTGCTAAAAGCAAAGGAAGTAGACAGATTACCATGAACATGTACATTCGCTGAGGTGCCTGTATAGAGCCCTTCAATAGAAGATCGCAATTTTGTCCTGACCCCTTTAGCCTCTAATGTGTAAAAAAAAATTGGACTAGTCGAGCTTGTCAGAGGCCTTTTCAGTGTTGATTACCAGGAGAAGGGTGGGGGTGCAGGACGTTTGTGCCCCATAGAAAATATTGACAATTTTTGTAGCATTGTCTTGTGCCTCCCTTCCCCTGACAAAGCCCTGCAATTTGACATCAGTATTAATCCATGATATAGGCATGTAGCTGCCTCAGAATATGGGGTCTTAGCCAGGTTTCGGGATAACAGTTACAGAGGCTCCTAAAGTGGGCAGAGGCAAGGATGAGACCAATTGAAGATCTTGAGGAAGATGGTACTAAGGTGAGAGAGAAATGTCTGGCAATAACGGGTCATAAACCCATTAGGGCCTGGGCTCTTTTCTACGGGGCGGGATTTTATCGCTTTCTGAAGTTCGGCTTTTGTAAAGTGGAGGGCTGAAGTTGCTGCCAGTTCAGGGGAGACATACAAATATGGGACTGGAGATATTCCAATCTATTTACCCTTATTGATATTGGTATCAGGAGGTTATATAAATCATGAAAGAGGAGCTCAAAGCTCTAGTTTTGTGATATGTTGTGTATACCTCTGTCTGTCAGTTCCCTTTATATTGAGAATATAGGATGCCTGGTGTCTATGCTTTAATACCCTTGTTAGCAGTTTCCTGCATTTGTTACCATAGGCTTAATGAGTGCAATGAACCATTAGAGGGGTACATTTTTGCCTCTAAGTCAGGGACGTATTAGCCGCGAGGCAAACAAGGCATTTGCCTTGGGCGGAATTTTTCAGGGGGCGGCAAAAAACGCCGCCCCCCAAATGCCCAGGGCAAATGCCTAGTTAGCCTTGCGGCTAACTGATCCAGAGGCTGGCGCGGGCGGGCGAGGGAGCTCTTCCTATGAGCTGTCTGCTCAGCTCCCTCGCGCGCCGCACAGTGAGGCTGGGAGCCGGAAGATGACGTCATCTTCCGGCTCCCAGCCTCACTCTGCAGCCGGCGCGCGAGGGAGCTGAGCAGACAGCTCATAGGAAGAGCTCCCTCGCCCGCCCGCCTGCCAGCGCCGCCCGCCCGCCCGGCAGCCACTGGACCACCAGGGAGAGAGAGACCTCCCCCCCCCCAGCACTCCCAAAGGTAAGGAGGTTGGGGGGGGGATTTAAATTTAAAAAAAAAGTTAATCTGTGTGTGTGTCTGACTGTGTGTGACTGACTGTGTTTGTGTGTGTGTGTTTGTGTCTGACTGTGTCTGTGTCTGACTGTGTGTGTGTGTGTCTGACTGTGTGTGTGTTTGTGTCTGTGCGTGTGTTTGTGAGTGTCTGACTGAGTGTGTGTGTGTGTGTCTGACTGAGTGTGTGTGTGTGTGTCTGACTGTGTGTGTGTGTGTGTTTGTTTGTGCCTGACTGTGTGTGTATGTGTTTGTGCCTGACTGTGTCTGTGAATGTGTGTGTGTATGACTGTGTGTGTGTGTGTCTGACTGTGTGTGTGTGTCTGACTGTGTGTGTGTGAGTGTGTATGTGTATGTGTCTGACTGTGTGTGTTTGTGTGTGTGTATGTGTATTTAGAAGGTGGGGCGGGGGGGAGGGGGGTGCCTGAGTTTTGTCCTGCCTAGGGCAGCACAAAACCAGGATACACCACTGCTCTAAGTTTAAATGTTGCTGTAACCATATCCATGTTTCTGTTAATTGGTTAAATAAGGCTGTCGATGGCTGGGTACTAAATATTTTTTTTGTGTGTGATTTTGAACTTTAACCCTTTAAGGACCAAACTTCTGGAATAAAAGGGAATCATGACATGTCACACATGTCATGTGTCCTTAAGGGGTTAATTGAGAAGCCTCAGTTAGGACATGTCGAGTGTAATTTGAGAACTGCATTGAGAAGAACTAATGACCTAAGAGATGCTGTGTAATGGCACACCTCAAGGATTACAGTTTAAAGGGTCTGAAGGTCAGTGGACAAGCTCTAATTATATTTTAGCCAGAACATGCCAAACAGAATGTTTATGACTTGTAGGTTGTTTGTCCTCAAAAAAGATAAAATCAGCTGACTCCTGATCATGGGTGTCCGCAGGATTTTTTCCCCTCTCCAATTCCTCCTCCCTATGGCCTACTTTTATTGCTCAGGAGAGGGGTTTCCTGGTAGGAGGTACATTTAATTAAAGGACCACTATAGTGCCAGGAAAACATACTCGTTTTCCTGGCACTATAGTGCCCTGAGGGTGCCCCCACCCTCAGGGACCCCCTCCCGCCCGGCTCTGGAAAGGGGAAAGGGGTTAAAAACTTACCTTTTTCCAGCGCTGGGAGGCTCTCCTCCTCCTCTCCGCCTCCGATCCGCCCCGCGGCTGAATGCGCCGCAGCGGCAAGAGCTGCGCGCGCATTCAGCCCGTCGCATAGGAAAGCATTTACAATGCTTTCCTATACGCTGCGTGCTCTCACTGTGAAAATCACAGTGAGAAGCACGCAAGCGCCTCTAGTGGCTGTCAATGAGACAGCCACTAGAGGATTAGGGGGAAGGCTTAACCCATTCATAATTATAGTAGTTTCTCTGAAACTGCTATAATTATGAAAAAATGGGTTAACCCTAGAAGGACCTGGCACCCAGACCACTTCATTAAGCTGAAGTGGTCTGGGTGCCTAGAGTGGTCCTTTAAAAATAGCAAAAATAATATGATCGTGCTAGCAGTAGTTAAAAGACAGGTATGTACACGTGCAACATGAGAACTTTAGTTTACAATAGCTGGGATGGTAAAGCCATAACTATCCCAATCTACAATTCCCATGGTGTTCAGCCTGTAATGGCTGGCTGTTTGTAACTCACTCTGCCGCTGGGGAGGAAGGACGGCACCTTTGGCTCCCTGTAACTCACTCTGCCGCTGGGGAGAAAGGACGACACCTTTGGCTCCCTGTAACTCACACTGCCGCTGGGGAAGAAGGACGGTACCTTCAGCTCCCTGTAACTCACTCTGCCGCTGGGGAGGAAGAACGGCACCTTTGGCTCCCTGTAACACACACTGCCGTTGGGGAGGAAGAACGGCACCTTTGGCTCCCTGTAACTCACTCTGCCGCTGGGGAGGATGGATGGCACCTTTGGCTCCCTGGGGCTCCATTTTGGCCAAATCTGCTTTGAACTGCAGGTACTCTGCCACTATTCTCCTCGTGTTCTGTACGTATTTCTCCTCTGGATTGGGTCCAAAGAATGCCAGCAGTTCTTTCACCATAGCGTCGAACTCCTCCTGAGTGTAGCTGGGCGCCATGCTTGCTCTGCTGAAGTTGGTTATTTTGTATATAGGGGCGCTGTACGGGTTCTAGCGTTGCCCTCAATTTGTAATCCAGGAACTGGTGTTACCTTGCAGCTGTCCTTCTGGGCTGTGGGAATGATCCCGTCGCTTGCCACCAATTGTAACGGACCGTTTTGCATACAAGAGGTTAAAAACTGTTTAGGCGATATTCCCCTTTCCAGATGCACCGACAGCTACGGTAAGCACACATCTCCCGAACTGCAAACTACACAAATTCACCAACTCCCAAACAGGAAACACACGAATACTGGAAACAGCCAAACAGGAAAAGCATACAATCAGCTTACACTCCTGGCAATAAGCATACAATCCAATTCCCCCAATAACGAGACGACACTTCATTCTGAGGGTCAAGCAGGAACTGATTTACTGGGGCTACCTGCCCGGCTTTTATGCAGGTCTCCCACATTGGTGGACACTCCCCTAGGGGACCAGATGGGAAACTGGGAAACATATTGGACATTGACCAATCACAGACATACACTTTTAAACACTCCCACAATGCATCACAATCCCTCCTCTCTGTCCTGGAGATAATTGGGAAGTAATCCAATTATCTCCAAGGACAGAGGCAAAACTCCATTAGCCACATGGCAGACAAAGGACAATAAAAGACATACAATTACATACTGTTACATTTATCACATAGAACATACACATTCTACCTATCCCCAGATAGCTTAGATCTGAGCACACATTATTACCGGGTCCTCACTGCAACAGGTCATTACAGACAAAGACCTCACTGCAATATGTTATTACAGACCAGGTCCTCACTGCGACATGTCATTACATTGAATCCTAGGAGTTTACCAAGGGAGTTCACCAGGGAGGACACAATGAGGAAAACAGCCGACAGTGTATCAATCAACATTTTCATTATCATCCACACACTGTTGTGCTTGCTGCATTTCTGTTTTGTGTTTTGTACCTAGCCATATGCGTAGTGTTAGTACTACTTCCTCACCTTATGTAGCAGCCCTTTGGCATCGATAAAGAAGAGAGAAGAGAGCTTCTGACGGATGCAGTATTTTCTTCTTTGCATAGAAGTGTGCAGGAATGCTCTGAACACCACAAACGTCAATATTTTTAGCACCGTGAAAACTGTAACAGGACATAAAATACTAAATATATTTGCTTACAGAGTTTCACCGAAAGGATTATAAACAGAATTATACAGTGGAGTTCAGTCACTTGCATACACACAGCGAAATTACATCAAATCACCTTAATGGAATACGACAAAGATTTGGGCAGCAGTACCTCATATATGAAGATTGAACAATATACAACATATCTTTAAATTAACAACATGAACGCAATTAATACTTATAACATATACTTTTACAGCGTACCTTGCTCCCCTTGCCAAGGGGTGCAATTTGAAACTTTAGACAATTAACATCAATCACCTTCCTACCAGGTACTGCTAGCTTGCTTGGTATCTAAACACTGTGTCACAGAGTGCTTTTGCCGCTCGCTCTAAAGGAAGGAGGGACTACTTGTACTTGTACAAGTTCCAGGGCAACGTCTCTGGTGACGTCAGTGTGGAACAACAATTTAAAATTACTAGCGGACACTAATACCTTATATACATTATTTGTAATTTATTTAATTTTTGTTTTTATCTCCTCCCCTCCTGTACATGGCTCCACATTTTTTTGTACCAGATTCAGTGGAGCACTTAAATATATGTATAAAAGTTAATAGTACACCTGGTGCAAACAAGGAATATATATATATATATATATATATATATATATCGTATTTTTACATATCCTCGAACATCCAATGTTGTGTATACCTTTAAGAAAAGAAAAAACAGAAATAGTGCAGTACCCTTATGTACACAAGTGTGATATACACATAAATTGGAACACTCACATATTCCAGAGCTTTAACCTAACTTTGGGAGTTATTTGCCTGTAGGTCCGTTTAGGCGACCTGCCCCTTTTTCTTTATGGAGAGTAGTTTAGGAGTTTTCTTGTGTATTCAGCAGTAGTATGCAGTATCTCAAGGAAAGAGATGTATATATAGTGTGATACCATTTGTAACAAATATTTTCATATAAATAGGTAAAATACTCACAAGCCTGGAGCCTAGTAATTGGGTTAGTTGAACAGCAGAGTATGGTTAGGAATCATACCACCCTTAGTCGTAGAATGCAGGAACATTGATGGTAAAAAAATATATAAAATATATAAAAGTATAAACTGTAAAAAGTATATATTTTATTAGAACTTACAATGAAAATATCAAATAGTAATATAAATAGTCCCAGAGAAGCGTTTCGCCGGAATGGCTTCTTCAATCTGGTGCAGTAAACCATCAAGTCCCACATTCCGTTTTTATATGGTTTCTAAGTGTTGTAATTGACTTTAGGTGTGATCGTCCTGTATTGCACGCATCTATCAAACATTTGATTTCAGTGATGTCACTTCCTGTGTGTTCTTCCTGTATTCGAAGCCTCTATCTGATGCTTGATTTTGGTGATGTAACTTCCTGTTGTCATTTCAAAGTTCAAGTTCTTTCAAAGTCTCTCAAAATGGTGGCATTGAAAACAAAACATATTAGTAAATACATTGTTATTGCCTTATTGGTATAATTCTTAACCCCTTAAGGACGGCGGGCATGCTATGCTGTCCTTGGGGACCCAGCTCTAAACGCCGGGGGGGGGGGGCATAGTATGTCCTGCCGTTCTTTCTACTTACCTGGTCGCTGGCGATCCCACGCAGGTGATCGCGGTGTAGGGATTCACCTGGCAGCCCAGGGAGTCCACCTCCATCCGTTTCAGCCCCCCTGGGCCATATGATCGTGAGGTCCTTGTGAGGACCTCGCGATCACATGGACAGCATAGCCGTCCATGTCAGTGCCAGTAGGGGGAGTGCCTGCAATGACAGGTACTCCCCCTGATGCCTGTAAAAAAAAAAAAAAAAAAAACATTTAAAACAGTGTAAAATTGAATTATATATACTTAGATCATATATATATTCATTATATATATGATCTAAGTATATAAATATACACATACACATACTTAAGGGGTGCCTAAGACAAGTAGAATAATAATATTAAAAATATTGAGAATTACTAGAGAGTACGAGCAGCGATACCTAATAGTCCAAATATAAATAATCCACATATGCAGGTGGTAGTCCTAGTAGTACATAAAATGGTATGTAAAGTCCCAGATGTATATCCGCAACTTTGAAGTGGATATGTGGAGAAAACAGAAGACAAGGGAAACTCCAATGGTATAATATGAATGGTAAATAATATTGTGTATATAGTAGTAGAACTACTCACAGTATTCAGAGCTTAAATCCAGTTCTGGTATGAATGGCATGAAGTGGAATAATCCCCACTCAAGGATATATGGTGCTCCTCTTTTGTTCTTTAGTAGAGTACTTTGATGGAGTAGTCCAGCTCGGGATAAAAGGATAAAATATATAGTGCTCACTGTATAGTTGATAAAATGTTGAAACAGAATAAAATATACTCACTGTATATAGAGCAGACGTACTGCTCGGTGGATGGCGTATGGGTGGTATAATCCCCACCTTGGGATTCTTGGTATTCCAATATGGACAAAAAGGCAGTAGTAGTCAGGTCATGGTAGGCTCAATTCCTACTAGCATCAGCGTGTGAGGAAGATAAATGTCATACTGCCACACTATGTTCCCAAAATATATTTCTTCTGTGAATGATAACTTTTTCTTTTCCCGTTTTCACAGTTTTATTGGCGCTTCCTTATTACAGTGCACTTGCACTTGATCTGTACCGGGTCCCAACTGAGCTTGTAGTAGCGGTTCAAGGGAGATAGCGAACAGCAGTGGCGACAATGGGCAGCCCTGGCGTGTTCCGTTGTGAAGGGGGAAAGGGGTCCTGGGGCTCCTGCAACTAGGGTCTGGGCTCTCAGGTTGGTGTACAGGGCGCGTATGGCTTGGATGTAAACTCCTGGGAAGCCCCACTCTTCCAGTAGACTGAACAGCTATGGCCACTGCACCCTATCAAAGGCCTTCTCCGCGTCTAAGGAGATGGCCAGTGAGGGCACTTCTGATTTCTGCATGTACCATGCCAGGACTGCCCCCCTACGCGTGTTTTCATATAGTTGCCTACCGGGGATAAACCCCACCTGATCTGGATGGATTAGGCATGTGAGCATAGGTGCCAGCCCGATCGCCAGGATCTTCGCGTATATTTTGAGATCCGAGTTTATCAGGGAGATAGGTCTATAATTCGCTGCGTGTTCGGCGTCTTTCCCCGGTTTCAGAATGAGTGTGATATTTGCTAGTGCCATGTCTGTGTCTGGCGCTCCGCCTGTCATGAAGTGGTTGTACAAGGAGGTAAGGTGGGGGGCTAGGTCCTCTTTGAATTTTTTGTAGTACCCTATTTCATATCCGTCGGGACCTTTGGCCTTGTTTCCTTTCAGGACTGCTATAGCTGTTTCTACCTCTAATTGGGAGATAGGTTCTTGTAAGATCGTGAGGTCTTCGTCTGTGATCTCAGGGAGTTTTATGTTAGCAAAAAAGGCTCGTAGTGAAGTATGTATTTGCCCCAGTGTACTCTGTGGGTGTTGGGTCTGTCCGTAGAGATTCGAGTACAACTCTGTGAATACCCTGTTTATGTCTCGTGGGGTTGTTGCCTGTTCCTGAGTGTGTGTATGTATTTTTGTGATGGGCTTGTGGTCCCCTCGAGTGCACAGCGTTCTGGCTAGTAGAGAGTCCATTTTATTGGACTTTTCATAGAAGAGTTGCTTAGACCTCTAAATGGAGTGCGCTACCCCCTCGAGTAGGACCCCCTGATTAAGTGTCGTAGTAATGGGAGTTCTGCAAATTTTACACCTATGGGGTTTTGTTAATGCTGTTGTTTTATTTCTCAGTGTATCCTGATAGTCTATAAGTGCTCGGTGTTACACTTCTTTTTGTGTGTTGCTACTTTTATAAAGTGTCCCCTCATGACCGCTTTGTGTGCTGCCCAGATCGCCACGGGGTCCACCTCCAGCGTGGTGTTTTGTGTGAAATAGTCTTTGATTAGGGTGCGCGTATCGTCACATATCGTTTCACTGTTTAGTAAGCTAGTGTTTAGGCGCCAGGTCCAAGTGGCGGAGTATTTGAGTTTGTCTAGTGTGATAGAAATATCTGCATGATCCGACCAGGTGATACTGCCTATGTCGGTGTGCGTGAGCTTGGACATCCCAACTCCGTTTAAGAATATGTGGTCGATTCTAGAGTATGTTGGAGCCTCCAGGCGTCAAGTAGCTGAGTGTTAGTAAGAAAGGTGTGCAATAGTTTATCCTGCACACCTCTCCTGTGGGACGTGGGCGAGCCCGTTTTCATGCTTCTATCTATTGCTGGGCTTGGTACAGCGTTGAAGACGCCCCCCACTACTGTTATCCCTCCCCTGTCTGCGTTCATTATTGTCATGAGGTTGTCCCAGCATGAGGGGGCTGAAACGTTAGGGGCATATACGTTGAAGATCCTTATTTTTGTGCTGTGTAGTGTGCCTGTTATTGAAATATAGCGGCCCTCCGGGTCTGCCTGTGTCCCAATCACTTGGAGTGGGCAGTTTTTGTGTACCAATATTGCCACTCCGGCCCGTTTGTGTAGTGCTCTCACCTCACGAGTCTGGGGGTATTGTCTGTTTTTCAGTGTTATCGGTGCTGTCTTAGGGATATGGGTTTCTTGAATTAGGGCAATGTCGGTTTTGTGTGCCTTCAGGTCTCTAAGCAGGAGCCTGCTTTTTATTTGGCGTGTTTAGTCCCTTGACGTTGAGGGAAACTATTTTTAGAGCCATTTAAGGTCGGGGCCCTAGGGGAGTGGTGATAAACTGGTGTGGTCTCCTATTTGATTATGTGCTCTGACTCCTTCTTCCGTGAGTGGGGTACTCTGGTCTGGGTCCTGGGCAGTCGTACCTGTGTTTTGTGTCATAACCTTATCTAGGAAATACGTTTGGGAAGTACGTTTTGTAGTAAACCTTTGCAGCATAAAGAACAGTAGCGTTAACAGTCAGTATAAACAAATAAACAATATACATAGACAAAAAATCAACTAAGTCTCAGATCTTACACTCTGCCAGAGTTATCTGGCGGCGTGGAGTTGCCAGGTCCGG